GTGTAGGGGGTAGTGTTCTTTGAAAGCCCCCCCCCCTCAGTCAGATCATAGTATTGTGGTCACAGACCCTTGTTTCGGAAATAAATTTTTAACCCATAGTTTAATAGTAACACTATTATATTATGGGTTAAAAATACTATTAAACAGTAAACTATTAAAAATTTATTTCCGAAACAAGTGCCTGTGACTGTGGTGCACTAAAAAAATTTGATTAAGAAGAAAGTTTCAATATTTTATTATGAATAATAATAAATTGATTAAACAGCAGGCCCTGCCTAAGTCCTTAACCCGCACCCCATAGAAGGCCATCCCCGAAGAAATATTTCCGACAAGCAATTTTCTTTCCCCCTTACACCACTGTCGGGTATCCGCGCCGGTTGTGACATGTTTGGATGCGGTGAAAATGGCGTAAAATGTACAAACGGGGAATACTGTGTACCTTGTCCAGGTCTATATTTTGGTAAATATTAATTTTTTTCTCAATTTTTTATTGAAATTCTATAGGTATCTGGTTAATTTAAATGATGTGTTTGAATTCTGTTTAAAGAGTTCATTAAATAATTCGTTGATGCACTTTTTTATCGATGCACTTGACATTTGTACCCTTTTAGCAAGTTTTAATTCGTGATTGTTAAAATAATATAAAATATATTTAAAATCTGAAGCAGCCAAAAGAAAGAAAAATCATTTTACATTTAGGTTATCAAAAGTGTATTTTATGTCCCATACAAGAAATGCATTTAAAAACCGTTTTATTTTATGTACCCTTAACAAATATAGTACGGTTTGGATGATGGGAGTGTTCTGGTTTGGATGCAAATTCAACATCTATGTGTTACGGTTTGGACGGTCTATAGTTTCAAATTTCTCAATCCAGTAGAGCTATGCGAACCAGTTTGCTTATTTAATACACCCTTACATGAAGGAAATGGCGTTTATGATAACATATATATTAGTATCAATTCATAAAAAATTTTAACAGGCACATAAGAAGTCACCTTTCCCTTCTTCATACATTGTTTTTACAGTTGATTTCATATAAAAATATGTTGAATCCCTTTTTCTCCACACGATTTAAACGAGTTTTCGATCACATCCCCTTTTTTCTTTAAAAACGATACTACATGTCTGATAACATAAAATAAATGTAAAATGTGTTAAATAAAATGAAAAACCAGAAGTCTCTGTCGAGACTGAAGCTCTACTGGTTTGTTCTTATAGCAATGGAAGGGAAAAGTTCTTAAGCAGTTGGGAATTAAAACTTTACCACAGCAATAAAAAGAATAATGATCCTTGATTAAGTCTCTTTATGTTTTTAGTATAGTCTACTTGCATGCCACATTATATTATAATCATACTTAAACTGCAGGAGGAGTAGCATTTTGAGAGTTTTTAACAGAAATTTCTATTTTTAGTTACCATGGCAACATCGTTCATCGAAATCAAGAACCGATATATAGAATTATGTATCTTAGCGTAGTCTACTTGTGTTCCAAGTTATATTGAAATCAGACCAAAACTGTAGGAGGAGTAGCATTTTGAAAGAATTTCACAGAAATTTCTATTTTTAGTAACAACGGCAACACCGTTCATCGAAATCAAAAACCTGATATACAGAATTATGTATCTTAGTGTAGTCTACTTGTATGCCAAGTTATATTGAAATCAGACCAAAACTGTAGGAGGAGTAGCATTTTTAAAGAATTTCATAGAAATTTCTATTTTTAGTAACAATGGCAACACCGTTCATCGAAATCAAAAACCGATATACAGAATTATTTATCTTAGTATAGTCTACTTGTGTGCCAAGTAATATTGAAATCAGACCAAAACTGTAGGAGAAGTAGCATTTTTAAAGAATTTTACAGAAATTTCTATTTTTAGCAACAACGGCAACACCGTTCATCGAAATCAAAAACCGATACACAGAATTATGTATCTTAGTGTGGTCTACTTGTGTGCTAAGTTATATTGAAATCAGACCAAAAATGTAGAAGGAGTAGTATTTTGAAAGAATTTCACAGAAATTTCTATTTTTAGTAACCACGGCAACAACGTTCATCGAAATCAAAAACCGATACACAGAATTATGTATCTTAGTGTAGTCTACTTGTATGCCAAGTTATATTGAAATCAGACCAAAACTGTAGGAGGAGTATCATTTTGAAAGAATTTCACAGAAATTTCTATTTTTAGTAACAACGGCAAAACCGTTCATCGAAATCAGAAACCGATACACAGAATTATGTATCTTAGTGTAGTCTACTTGTGTGCCAAGTTATATTGAAATCAGACCAAAACTGTAGGAGGAGTAGCATTTTGAAAGATTGTTTACAGACAGACGGACAGACAGACGGACGGACGACGGACGCATTACTATCGCATAAGCTCTTCTGGTCTCTGACCAGTAGAGCTAAAAAATCGTCTAATGCATATCCCGTCAACAGTCCCGTCCCATTTATAAGGCAGATTATCCCACGTTTCCAACTTTCTTTGATGCTCTTGCATCGCCCGCGAGGCGCACTGGTTAGAGCGTCTGCTCTCGAGTCGCGAAGTAAGGAGTCAATCCTTACATCGCGGGTTCGAATCCAACTGTGGGAGAGAAGGATCCTTCGGATAAGACAATATAAGGCGAGGCCCCGTGTCGCAGTACATGCTGGCACGAAAAAGATCCGTCACTACTAAATGACCCTGAGTGCCAAGTATAGGACATGTAGATGGAGCTCACAGCTGTATTGAGCTACTGATCGTGTAATACCGGACCCCACTTTGCAGAGAATTTAAACTTGTAATAAACTTGCTCATTTATTACATATGTTATATTCTCCCTCACAATGTCCATTCAAATGTAAAATTATATTCTAAGTATGAGAATTATAAGAAAAAGAACTCTATATTACATACGTATTGAATCCGGGGGGGGGGGTATCATGTTGTAAATTTTGAATTTACTATGGGGGATAAATGCAAAAATTAATTTTGCATTTTAATACCTAGCCCTAGTAAATTTAAAATTTACAACATGAGAGGGGTATCATTAAATAGGCATGCATTGAACATTGGGGCGTTGGTTACCCCCCCCCCCCCCCCTTCAACAGGCATATAATCAAAAAAGGGTAAGCAGTATATTGTGTTTGAAAAAAAATGGTAGAGAAAGAAATCCCCCCCCCCCGCACACACACAGGAAATAGGATTTTCGGGATTGGAAAATTTCAATTCTTTTTGTGGTCCATCAATTAGCCCCCCCCCCCCCCCATTTTGCTTATACTATATAACTATAATATTGATTAATTTATTGTAAATAATTATTTCATGAATCAATATATTCAGAGAATAGTATGTATTGTACATATAAACCGAATATGTCCGATTATGTAATAAGAGAATGAAATTTAAAAAAACAACAACACAGGAATCAGTATATTGACTAAGGGCTAAAAAAGGGGGTGGGGGTCGGCTTCTTACACCATTTCCCCCCAAATATAAATCATAATTAGCTTCTTGCTGTGGAACTTGTTCATTGAAAGGCCTATAAACCTACTCTGTTTTTTGCGGGGTTGCAGTACAGTCAAGTTATCATTTTATAGTATTTGTTTGTGATCCCCCCTTTTCGAAATATGGTTTATGAAGTCCTGATTTGTTACCATTATTTCTTCGTTAAAGATGTTTCTAGGTAAGTTTTCAAACAATTTATCTGGAAACCCCGCCCCTTCCTTTAAAAGTGTTAAAATTGACTTTTTATACCATAATGTTAAGTATGATTTATATCAAAGAATCTCATCCAAACCGTATCAGAACTTCATCCAAACCGTACACAGTTTTGTAAACACTAACATCCAAACATGTTACGTTGTTCTATAGCATGTCACCATCGGAACAGTTTCTTTGCATTAAATTCGTGGATTAATGGCAGAGCTATAGGATGAATAATTACTTTTCAACACAGGCTGTCTCTTAGTTGTAAAATTACATACTACAGATTCCATTTAATAAGACTAAATCCTTTCGATGAGTCGAAGCGGTTGATTGACTCCGCCATTTCCACTGCATCCAAACATGTCACAACCGGCGCGGATACCCGACAGTGTTACACTTTAAAAATGATACTACGAGGGGTTATCAAAAAGTTCGTGGACTGAGGCTATACAATTAGTTCTATGTAGTCTGTGTTTTCAAAATTTATAAGAAACATAAAACAACAAAAAATAAAGAAATGTTGAAAATTTTAGCTTGATATCTTCATTATTTGCCAATTTATTTTAAAACAAGAGGTATTGTAAGCAATGAGCTGATTTTAAATGATACCCCCGCCTCTCATATGGTTACATGTATAATGGCAAAGTCCATGATTTGCAGTGGCCGGGAAACCCAAAACGTCGTGTTAGAGGTTGCGTCGACTGGACATACCATTGTTTACAAAAACATTACTAAATTAATAAAAAATAAAATTTACGAATTATGGTTTATTCGACAGATAGAAAAGATGATGCTTATTACATATTTTAAAATTCATTGATGTACCTAAAGCGGTTTTAATTTTATGTCGCTAGTCCACGAACTTTTTGATACCCCCTCGTTCGTGCCTAATGTCTGAATGTGCATGAATAAAGTGTTATATTTTTTATATCAGCTTTATATAGAATTCAAAAAAAATCTGCCCGAGTATTCTACGTTGTTCAATGCAGCAACATCTTTGCTAAGCATTCATGAGGAGATCAGCGTATAAGAAACCTTTGGCTAGCGAAGATGATGCAGCAAATACTTTCATTGAAAGTAGAAACTCGCTGCTATAATGTAGCCCCCCCTTTTTTTCTAAGGGGGGATCTCCATAAAACATGAATCAGAAAAAAAATCGGAGAGGGGGTTTCATTATTGCAGATAGTAGAAAAATACATTTACATCTGTGCATCCTATAAGAGAGAAATACGTTATATACAGTGCATTGTACTTCGTACATAAACCTCTCACACATTCACAATAAAAAGGGCAACACACAGTCATATAGTAAAATATTTCGTTTATTTTTCACAAGTATACAATAAAAATTTGTGTAAAAATACCAATAAAAGTATTATTAAACAACAAAAAGTATTTGCTTTAAAAGTTGCATTAGTATCACAAAAAACGCCTACAATGTATGGTACATGTATATAAATCCACCGACTCTAAACCGCCGTATAAAAAAATCAATATTACAATTTACTAACATTCTGCTTGTAGCAATATAAAATATATTTTATAATTAATAAAAATGAGTTATTTTGTCAAAATAAAAATAATTTCCTATGACGCTATGAGGTTAAATAAACAAGCTGCTTATACGAATTCCATATCCCCTTCCGTCCTCCACCTGGGACAACCTCGGTTCCAACAACGGCGCTCTTCCGGTTTCTACCAATGCTTTCTTGTGCTTGTATCTGTCGCAACACTTCATCTGGAGGAAGGGCATTTTCCCGATCCTTAAAGTTTAAAAAAATATTAAAATAAAAAAAAATAAATTTAAAATATTTAACAGTCTGGGGATAGAAATTCTGATTGCTTTTTTATGGAACTTTTAAAGCCATATATGGCGTATGTACAATGAAAATTATTGGACTAAAATTATAAGAACTTATTATTTGTATCATTACTTTATATAAAGATGGAACTTTTCCGTAAATTACAAAATCTAAATCAATTGCGTTAGAAAGATATCACAATTTAATTTGGATTCTCGGAATTTTCTCCGACTCGGAAGAAAATACAAAAGATTTAAATAACACTTACAGAGAAGATAAAATCGTATTATTAGATGAAACGAGGTGTTCTCCGTGTTCAGAATTGTATTAAAGGCTTTAATTTAAATGTATCAACTATATTTCTACTAAATTTTGCGTTTTTTTCAAAAATATATTTTTTTGATCAGTTACGCTATATATGGCTTTAAAAAAAAATATATTTATTATTTAATTGAAAGCTGCTGTTTTAAAATACTACATATTATTTAAAGATACTTACCTGTTTACTTGCAATAAACAGAATTGGAATGTTACTAGCGGCCTCCAAACTCAGAAACCTTCTCAGTTCGTCAGCATTCTCTTCTAACCTCGCCTTGCTTGCCGTTGAATCCACCACCCAAACTATTACATGGATCCCTTTTACAAATTCCTTCCAATAAGTTCTACACATTTCTGATCCCCCAACTACAAAGAAACTCAAATGCTGATTATACATGTTATATTATGAATTATGAACACAAACTATTGCTTTAAAGTTCATATCTAAAATTATGTAGATCGTTTGCCTAAATGTGATTAAAATTGTAACATGTACATGTAGTTAGAAAGATTTTTTTTCCCATTTCAGCCTTTTATTTTAATTTTTTAATTTTTTTTATTTATTTGTTTTTAAAGTTTTTTTTCCAGAAATCGGAGAATTTAATTATCTGAATGGCGAGCGCACCAGCGTATAGGGTACACGTATCTTGTATGTTAACTGATTCTTACCATCCCAGATGTCGAACATGACGTCCCCTATGGTGACAGACTTGACGTTGAAGCCGACAGTGGGTCGCGGCATTTCATTCTTTTCCTTTCCCTTACTTAGACACTCCACAAATGCGGTTTTCCCGCTCCCATCCAACCCAACCACAAGTACTCGTGTCCTCGGACGCTCCGAACGAGTCTGTCGGATAGAAAAACAGATATAATATGGTTAATTTGCAACATGCACCTGCACATGATTCATTAAATGCGCACAATATGACACCACAAACATTTTTTTGCATTTTGTTGATATCAGTATGCGTTGTTGATATATCCAGATTTCATTAGTTAATATCATGGATGGGAAACGTATAAAGATGTAAATTTGAAAATGCTTGGATATAAATGTAAAAATGACAAATCAAATCAATGCGTTTTTAATTCATTTTTATTACATTTTGTTTAAAATGTTGTTAATGCCTTTTTATAATATACAATTATTATTATACAACACCATTCCTGCTACTTTATTTGAAATTTTGTCGCGAGAATACATTTAATATGCCTTAGATCCTTAAAAATTGTAATTTCCAACTGGGAGGTTTCAGACCCAGAAGCAATAATTTTTTTTCTCAAAACTTAATTAAATTAAAATTGTTGATAAAAATATTTAAATTTAACATATAAATTAGTTTCTGCAAACTGCAGTATCTCGGATCTAACAATATCATTTCATCAGAGTTGTTTGGTAACTTAATGGTAAGTTTATATACTCATCATGGGAGTCGGAACTTGGGGGGGGGGATGTTGAAACCGGGGCTTTGTTTAATCTAGCCCCCCCTCCTCTCTCCTCTACTTTAAATTTATTTTCGACGCCTATGATACTAATCGTTTGGTTGGCAGATGTGATAAGAGGCCAAGGACTGATTAAAGAGAAACGATTCTTTAATTTTTGTTCAATATTTTTTTTCCCAAGATTGGTCATTCCAAATAAATATTTCAATAAAATAAATTTTTATTTAGACTTATATGCCAACCTCTTTCAAATTGCTTTTGTGGAACTATACTTCAACAGTTTTTTTTATCAGTATAAAACAACAAGTTACAGATTTTTTGAGATTAATAAATTAAAACGCTTCTAGAGCCCTTGAGGCAACAGGCTGAGGTTCTCCGAGTTTAAGTTTGATTTCAATTTTGAGTTGTCCTTCTTTCGCCGAAAGTTTTGAGAAAAAAAATACTTTATCTACTTGACATTTCCACATCATATGTTTAAGTTTTATATCCTTTAACTTTCTGTATTTATACCCACCCCCACCCCCTACACACACACCCTTATGTAAAAAAGATTTATTTTAATATTGTAATGATTATTTAGAGAGGAAGCTTTTTATCATTTTTAATCAGTTGTCTCGCAGTTTGATTTTTAAAAATTATTTGACATATTCATCCCTCTTTATTTAACAAAGAAGTTGGAGACCACTGATTATGTGTATACATGTAATTTAAAAATAAATTGCAAGATATAGGGTATCCCCCTAGAGTAAAATTCATATATATTATAAAAGCACATTGTTTTAAAGTTTTATTTTTATTATTACTTTCCAACACCACATTCAAGTAGTTCAATGATGCTAATTGTTTGTTATGATGGATGTAAGTATGATTCTGGACCATGGTGGGAAATTACATAGATAATTACAAAATTATATACTCAGAGACTAGTACTTAAACATAAGAGACTTGTGTATATCTTTAAAGCTTATGCAATCACAATCAGAATGATATGAATAAAAACAAACCATCCAGAAATTTAAAGTTTCAATAACTTCAAGATGAAAAAAGATATTTATTATAGTTTCATGTGAAATGCTATTGCAATAAACTTAAGTTTTAAGATTTAAGTTTTTTCTGTTTATTTAATGGTCTTGCAGCCTGATGAGTAAGTGAGTGACCAATTAAGAGGTTTTTATCAAGTTCATGTCAGTATCTATGCACCTTTAAGTCTGCATGTTTTCAGTTTAAGATCTCAAGGTCAGATCTACCATTCAATGTATAACTCTTTTAGTGTGCATCCCTTGATGCATCATCCAAGCATATATTTGGTACTGTAACAGGTAGGACTTGGTTACTTGGGAATGGACTTTCTCCTCAATCTTTAATTTGGACATGAATGCTTAGACAACACATGGGTACATGTACAGCATAAGCTAATCTCAGATTTGCCAAATTGAGCAAAAAATCAAATGTGTAATAAAACAACCACAGTACATAATCAAAACTCAAGAGCATAGAAATGGAGGTGCAAGTGTACTCAGGAGAGGTAGATCTTTCTTTACCGGTCCCCAGATCTGCAAGATCCACAGGCTCATTGGACTATGACATTAACATTTAATACCTCACTGAATTGACAAGGGTTAGTCTTGCACACTTTTTGACTGATTAGGGTTAGTCCTGACACAAGTATTTGTTTGATTAGGGTTAGTCTCACGTCCATACGATAGATAAGGGTTAGTCCTCGCACATTATATGACTGATTAGGGTTAGTCTAGCATCTGCCCGTGAGATTTCGTCTTAACATCTTAGTCCTTGCATCTCATCCAAGAGATTAGGGTTAGTGACTCATTCTTTTAGATATTATCGTTTGCAGCTAACTGTAAAGTTTCATGTTACGTCACGATCTAGATGACAGCTGCACTCAAGGTAATTAAATTGTACACGCCTCCTAACCGCAAGCTTTACGACTGGAACTTTCTTCTTATCCCTGATTGGTTGCTTGTGCAACAGGCTATTTCTATGTGAATGTTGATAATTTGAGTTGACCAATCACGTGAATTGATTACGCTGGATGCATCTGACGAAAAACATCGTGATGAAACATGAAACTTTACAGCTGGCTGCAAACAATAATAATTTAGATAAATTAAGAAATTCAGTTGCTGTAATTTTTGCAAGATCATAATTCAACCTCAATGGCATTTCTTTGATTTATTTACATGGACGAATGGCTAAGTCTGAAAGAAATGACACTAGTAAGCATGCACTGCACCCGCTTCATTCTCAATTATTTTTTGTGGATTTTTTCAATGAATAAACAACATCTAACAGAAAACAAGGTTAAAAACTTTGTTTAAAAATGAAGTTTTAAACGAGACTTTTTACCATAGAATTCGATTTTGGGGGTCAAAAGGCAAAAAAATGTCTTCTTTTTTTTTTTTATCGCTTAAGCGATCTCATATAGTAATGTCACTTTTGGCAACACTACTTGATTTTAGCAAATTTTTCAGGGGATCGGTAAAGTAAAGTTGTTTCCTCAGGATTTTTTTATTGAAGAATAGAAACTCTCTTTTGCATAAAATACAGAGATAAAAAACCATGAGCAAGCCTAAAAGTCCCTTGAAACAATACAAAATAGCAGCAAAGCAAACATGGACCTCTAAAACATTAATGATTAATAGAGGTGGGATCTGGTGCCATATTCACAATCATGTTCATTAAACATGTTCAAGCAAGTGTAACATGTCAAAATGCTGCTGAAATTCAAACAATGAATTGCATACAGATATCTAATGAATGCTATGCCATATTATATCTAGTCACTATTGTATAATTGTAAAATGTTTCAACTGAATTAACACTTGGACCATAAACAATCTATATAGGCCTAGTTTATGGTTCTTCTTTTTTTTTTTTGGCAATGGGTGCCGCGGTAATGTACTCACTACGTTCCGCATGCCGATTTTACAATGACATTATTAAGTAAGTAATGACGAAGAAAAGGTATCAAAAAGGGAAATATCAGAGAAATTATGTAGATGCTGCTTACTACGTTTTGAACGTGTCGGAAGTATTCATCGGGCTTGCTTTCTGATTCTTGAAAGAATATGATTAATTTGTAGATTCCATAAGCAACAGCTGATGTGACGATTCCCGAAACTATAAAAGATGTCGGCCTTGTTTCCCACAGGTATTTGAGCCACGAGTTCATCCTCCCAAGCTCCCTACCTACATCATTGTTGACGTTCAAGATAAAATGCGACCCCGATCATTGTCCTGGTGTCTTGATCATCATAGCGTTTGAAATATTGGTGATGCTAATTAAAGAAAAGAAGTATTTCTTTCCCAGTAATGATCGATAGAAAGTTCAAACTATCCTTTTAGATTGTTATTTTGGTAAACAATAAAAATTTTGATATTTATTGTTTCTAAATATCAATAAAATAATTTCTCTAAAATTTCTTAATTTCGTTTCAATTTCTTTTTAAAATATGATTCACAAACATGTTCTCCTCAGTTGTGCCTGGTTTTGTAGTGTTTTTAACCATATGTTTAAAAAATATTCACAAATAATGTGTTTTATTTTCATAAATATTTTTTTATAAAAAACAAGTATATACTGACAAAACGTCAGAAATACTCAAGCTGTAGAAAGTCAGTTAGGAAGTATCATTAATTTATCCTAAAATGGTATTAGATGAGGGCTATCGAGTTCAATTCTCTGTTGAATAAACTACATGACTGTATATATACATGAAACAACATTCATATATTGAATTTTATTAGAAAAAAAAACATTATTATTAATCGTACTACTTTTTAAGATGAATTTACGTGACACACTTTCAGGAATATTTTATAGAGCATAGTAACGTTTCCGTTTCTGAATGAAATATTTTTTATGTAGACATTTAGTATACATGTACTTCAAACTATATACGTTTTTGTATTTTTTGCTTAATGACGTACATCACATTCAATATATACATAAATCTAAATAGCTTGTTTCAAGCCTGTAGAAAAGTTTTTCAAAGTGGAGGGGGGGGGGAGGGGGTCCAAAAACTCCACGTGAGTACGGGTTCATCCATCGTAGCAAACCACGGCCAAACTGTACGATCCTCTCCTACTCCGGACCGTGGCTTGAGACGATGGGGTTCATCTATCTGAGCAGCATGTCCAATGCATATTCCGTACGAACCAAAAGAAGTTATTTAAGTTCCGGTATCAAAGCTTAATACGAGAATTTAACATTGATTTTGTGCTTTTATTTTACTGTCTCTCAAATTACACATCAATTTTAGTTGGGGGTACAGCCATACATTTTCCGGCCATGCATTGTAGAATTAATTTGTTAACAATGGGGTAACCTGCGTCACCTTTCAGAGTCTGCAGTGGACTCGTCCAAGGATGCTTTGTCGGCGACTATAAAAAGTTACCTGAGATTCATACGCAAAGAAAAGCGTGAAATCTCTGTATAGAAACTGTTGCAGCTGCGACGCTTCATTCATTGTTCATTCGCTATAGAAAATAATCCGCTATTTAACACTTAATATCTTTGAATATACAGACGTTTTCAAGATAAGCTTCATTTTTGTTTTTAGAAATATTTTTATCTACAAAAATAATATATTTTTGTAATTTTAAACTGAGTAATTCGATGACCTAGCATCGTTTTAGATAACTCAAGCCCCTCTAGGGCTTGAGTAAAAATTAAAAAGTCTAACCAGCCTTTCTTTACATGTTTTATAAGATATTAATATGATACATCCATTTACAGCAAACTTTTAACTCGAAAACATCTTAGTTGGATATAATTAATTTTTTTCATTTTCTTTGAAAAAATACAAAAAAATTCATATAAAATAATTAAGAGCCAATATCGACTTTTCAAAGCTGAAACCCTTGTTCAAAAGGGATGACTCAAAGATCTATAAAATAAAAAGTTGGTGTGGCATTCCACCTTAATTAATTGCCTGTATGGGCCTTAGGCTTTTTAAATTTAAAACAAACAAAATAAAAACAAACAAACAAAAACAAACTTGAGATCTATTTTTATTGAATTTAAGGGACCCCGACCCTCAGCCAGGAAGGACAACTCTTTAATTTATAATTAAATTCAACTGGAAAATTAAATATTTTCATGCAACAATTTTCATTATATGTCTCTCAATGTGCATCAAGGTTCTTTGTAAAGCTTCATAAATGATTTCTAATTTCATATCATGTTAATAAACGTTGTTATCTAAAAATGCTTTTATGGGATAAAAATTTCTAATTTTAATTTGACCTTTCTGAGAAGTTCAAAGTTAAATTAAAGAGCTGTTCTTCCTGGCTGAGGGTCGGAGTCCTTGAAGCCTATATATATATATATATATATATATATATATATATATATATATATATATATATATATATATATATATATATATATATATATATATATATATATATATCATCTTTTTAGATTTTACTTTTTGTAAATTTTGCAAAGAATAATTGAAAAAATTATTCCAAAAATTGGGGTATAGGTGTTCAAAGAGCTATTTTGCTAAATGATTTATCTGGTCAACCATAATAAAGTATGTGTTATTGTTAGTTAAACCTTAGATATAATTCTTAATAGTTTTAAATAAAAAATTTCATATAAACAGTTCATATTTTGAGAATTATTTAAAAAAAAAAGATATTTTGAGATTATTTCTGAAAAACGTGGGCAGATTTCCTCAAGTTCTTAATGTTTTCCAATAAAGATTTCAAAAATTCTCTTGGAAAATGAATATTTTTAATTTTCATAAGCTTTATCAAAATTTGATGTGATTTGGCGCATAACTTAATAAAATATAATAACCCACTTTATGTTCAAATCAATTTTTGCTGTTGAATTGATAGAGGTATGTATATGTACTATGAAAATTTACCGTCAAAGATATGTCTCTTATGGATGTTTAATTCGTTTATGACTTATTCAAGGTATTCAAATTAAAAAAATTATCAATTTTACAGAAATTTTTGAAAGTACGGACCTATCTTATTTATAAAAGGATAAAAACATATAAATCTTTAAAACATATTGTAAATATTTTTTCGCATTTTGTAGGATTGAATGCAAGTAGGTTCAAAATATTACAAAAGTGAATCATTTGTGTTTTTTATTTCAAAAATATGCAGCCGGTTTCAGATATCGGTACTTGAAAAGCGTATTTAAAAAAAACAAAATAAAAAAAAAAATAATAAAATTGACCAGAGCACAAACACAAAACTGACGGTTAGCCCGCTATAAATGCCTTGTTCACACATATTCATACATATAAAGCAATTCAGAAAGGGCTAATTCAAATCTACGCTAACTTGTTAAAAAATCAATTTCCGCGAAACAAAACATTTACAGTGTTTAGTACAATTCTCTGTTATCCTTGGACTTTCAGTAAGGCGTGGCATTCTCGAGTTCCATAATTAGCATCTGAAATTTACACAACCTTTCATTCACTGTCGAAATATACATGGGATAGAAATTTGGGCGAATATCGATAAGCGTAGCAAGGATCCAATGATAGTTTTTCGTACAGCAAAGAGGTGAGGCTTAAGTCTTTTCATCGATGACAACAATTTAAAGTTGCTGATGTTGTTAATTTCGTAACCAATGAGAATCTATTTACCATATGAGAGACGCTAATTACGTAGCGTCGAGAATGCCACGTCTTACTGAAAGTCCAATGATGACAGAGAATTGTACTATATCAATGGAAAGGTCTTGTCATAATGAATACACATGTGATGCAAAAAAGGCCTAGCACTGATCAAAAGTTAAAGATAAAAATGGTACAAATTCTTGCAGAATGGTTCAAACGTCAAGGTCAAGAGGTGAAATATCTTGGCCGATACTCAACATGTAAGTTATGATCAAGGTTAAAGTTTTTTTTCAAAAAGAGACAAGATAGATCTAGTCAGACAAACGGACGGACAGGGACAAATTGTATACCTCTAATCTTCACTACTGGGGCACAAAACAGAGTAGTAATAAATAAATGGTCAACTGCAAAGAAAATACAGAGGCATTTGACAAATGGTCAAGTATTATAATGTTGTAGCATTCAACAGTGGTCATCATTATACAAAGTTGTTGAATTCTGCCTCCTTTTAGAATCTCTGTATACAAACTCCGTCCCTCCCCATCACTTTCTCTCACTCCCTCTCTTCCCATTCTTTCCCGCTTTTTCTCTCTATCTCCATTCTCACCTACCGCTCTCGCTCCGTCCCCTCTCTCCCTTCTATCTGTCGATCCCTCACTTTCCACTCTCACTCCCCACTCTCACTTTCCCTGTCTCCCCAAGCACACTCTCTCCATTTTCACTCTCACTCCCCTCTCTCCTACTCTCACCCCTTCTCTCTCCATCCTCTCCCCCTCCTTCTCGGTCTTTACCCTCTCACTTCCCCACACTCTCTCTCCCCTTCTCTCTCCCCTCTGTCTTTTTCTACTTCCTCTCCCATTCTCTCTACCTACTATCTCTATCTCTCTGCCTATCTCTCTACTTTTTCCTCCTTATCCCTCTCTCTCTCTTTTCTTTGTTCGTTTGACTCAGCTACAGTTTTATCTTGTTATAAATAAAGTATATACATGTATATTTAATACAAAGATGTTTGAAAGTTTTTACTTTAAAAAAATGAGAGAAAATACTTATTTCTATAATAAACAGAGATTTCCTCTCATCATTATATCATAATTTTTAAAACGTTTATTCTTGATCTTTTTATCTTTACTTGGATTTGACAGAATTGTTTATTTTTGCGAAAAACTTAATATCATTTAAAATTATAAGGGCGATAACTTCAGATAACAGAAATTACTCCTTTTTATTTCAAAATTATTTCAATGCGTTACAGAGTGTATGTTCGCTAATAACATTCCATATGCTTGGAGAACACTATTTATAATATGCTTACTATGCAAGATTTATGATATATCGGCTCGAAATCCCAGTTGGATATGATTTGTTGTACCGGTATGAAGGATAGCTATGCGGCTATGCCCAAGATTATCCACATGCAGAGAGTAGGTCAATAGATATTCTCAAATAAATATTCTTTATTTGACCTAGTTTGTGATTAAGGTTTGACATTCACTATCACAATTTTTCTTATTGTTTATAAATGATTGTTTGGTGTTTTATTATTCAAATACGTATACTGTTCATAAAACTGACTACGTACGTGTAATCTTTACTTGTGACATGGTTCTTCAAATTAACGTTTTTGAATGGACAGTTTCATATGATGAACCGTTGGGCCATCAGCGTAATTTGAGTAAATG